TATAATTATCCTCCCCTTATTCATAGTTGAGTCATTTGCTGGTGGAGTCGCGGGAGGCATATTTGCATGGAGTGAAATTTTGTTAGGGGTAAAAAATTGGGAGTGAAGCGACAGATGTTAATGACTCAACACAGCTTTAGGTCATCAATCATTCATATTCAATTGACAAAACCTAAACTGTCAAATATTTTCGGATGATATTTGTTATTGAAAAATTGCAATTTGATGAAAAAATCCATGAAAACAGTAAATTTCAGTTCAATCATTTTGTGAAAATTAATAGAATTCAGGGAAATTTTGGTAAATATATTCTGAAATTGATTATTAATATATTTATGTAGTTGAAATGTTTATAACAATTTTTATGCAATTATTCGTCCATTCATTCAAAATAAAAACCTGTGATGTAAAATCGTTAAACCTGTTCAAATGAATTCATTCGTCTTTTATAATTACGAAATTATCTCAATAACTATTCATTATATGAGAAAATTTCATAAAATCTTTTTTGTAGCCGACAAAATTCTCCACAAAAAATGTCTTATCACATTTTCTCCCCCAACCCTTCACTTCACAGATAATCCCCCAATGAAATCCCCAAAAATTCTACATTCTCTCAATTTTATACAGATGGCAATAGCAATGTCAAGCTGTTATTCCCTGAAGGATCGATATTGCACTAGACCTCGGGCGTCCCCAACTCGAAAATAACGATCGTGCGAAACTTAGCAGTCTCCCCAAGGCCTAGATACACTATATAATGCTCGTTATATACAAAATGTCTCGTCTCCCTCAATTTCTCGCATGTTCTCTGCTTTCACGTACCGATATACATTGAGAATAGAAAAAAAAACATTATGACTCATCGTCCTTGCTCACCAACAACACGGCATTTGTTGTTATGCACAATAGGGATAAACTGATAACGAGCTTTTGTCACGAAACAGCTATACACGTGAGTGAAGACGTGCTCCACGCTGCACTCGCATGATTTTATTAATTATGTGGAGCGAGATGATTTTTTATTTCTCCATCGACCCGAATTTCAATTGTGGCAATGCCTCTTATCAGTGACTTCTTCACCTAGTGATTGAGAGAGTGATAAGGAGTATTGAAATGTGAATTGCAGTGATGCATTCTCTAGAAAATTGTTGAATTTTTATTGGATTTTTATTTGAATTCAGAATTCAGAACAAGGGCCAATTGATTTTGACGATAACCAAAAAAATAATTGTTTTAATGAATCCAATTGTGATTTAAAATAATCTTCACAATGCCATTTTGATCGAGTTCGATCATAAGATGGATTGCATTGTCTGTTGTTGAGAAAATTTATTTTGAAATCAATATTCAAAAGGAAAGGTAACAAATTTAATATTGGGGTAATGTTAAATTATGTCATAGAAATTCCATTTGAATGAAAATGTATAATTTATTAGAAAAAATATATTGACTATTGTTGTGCTAGAGTAATTTCCCACTTGTTGATTCCAGAATCCACGAAAAAAAATAGAATTCATACCCCAAAATTCGCACAGAAAAAGCTTCACGCCACCTTATAGGATCAGAGAATTTTTGAAAGTCTTAGATAAAAAGATTATTCTGCTAATTGACTCCTTTTTCACTTCATATAAACTACTCATTTAAGGACATTGTAAGATTTGCCACATGTTAGATTGATACGCTAACAATTTATGTATATTTTTGTAATTTTTTTTCAGCAGAATAAATCATTAAGTTGAATGCGCAAATAAAAAAAAATTCAAGAATTCAGTTAGGAAGAATCGAAATGAAGTGCGTTAAATAGAAATACCACATTTCTCTTCATTTTTCTCTATCAGATATTTAGATTTAAGAATCGCACAAAATTACATAATTTTCAATGTACGTCGGCCCGAAAAAATCAACAAAATTCAATTCCACGAAATGACATTCAGAAACAAATATGTACAACTGTTCATGAAATCTTTGACAATGATTACTCAATCAACATGATAACGAGCACCTTTGGGAATAAATACTGAGTAATCTCACGTAAACGTGAAATAATTGATCGAAAAACATCTCTCGATAACTTTCTCCAAAATAACTCGTCACAGATATAATTCCATAATCGCACAAATGTCGTATCCAGACGTCGACCGCTTTATCATTTCCTCATTATGAATTCTTTCCCCATGTGAAGTCATTAATAATGTCACAGTGGAATGCAATTTCAATGGCACTAAATGCAAAAACAGAATTTTCCGGTTTTAATTCAGACGAGTCGGAATTTTTTATTATTAAGAAAATTTTATTCTGTACTTGATGATTGAAGTTCACTTAAATTGACAGTAATGCTGTTTTTGAATTATGAATCAGGTGTCAGCGGAGGAATCTATGATTATAATTAATTGTCATTTATTAAATTATCATAATTAATTAATAATCATAATTGATTAATGATAATGAATGATAATTCATTATCATTATTAAGTTGTCATTTAGTCAATTAAATTACAATTATTTGTAAACATAGATGTCTGTTGATTTGAGAATTGCATGAGAATGAAGAGAAGAATTTCAAATATTTCAATAATTTCACTCGCTCCATTACGTTTTATATGCGTGATGTACGATAATTCAATTCATCCAGAACAAACTCTTCAAAATCATAAAATCAACAAGAAAAAATTACATTCCTTAAATTCTTCAATTGATATCTTCCTTAACTGTTTGAAATTTCCTGCTTCACTTTATGATAAAATTTGTTTATAAATTAGTACAAGTTGTTTTGAAGTTTAGATAAAAACCGACTTTGTTCAGGAATTTTAGATTTTTTCCCCTATTACATTTATCATTAGATGACTACATTCCCCACAAATTAATAATAATACTAACAATGAATTATTGATCAATCGTATATACTCAAAGCCATCACAATTGATTGAGTGTCAACATAAGAATTCATCCTAGAAATAATGATTTCCATTACTGAACAGTCATTTTATAAGAAAACGTCATGTAATATTTGAAATAGCAGGAAATTTCATTTTCAAAAAAAAAATTTCTGACAAAAAATGTGAAAATCAACGTTGTCTGTTTTATGGCGGATTGAACGACAAAAACTTGAAATATTTGAATAATTTCACTCGTTCCATTACGCGTTACATTCATGGAATATGGTCATTTAATTTATCCAGGAAAAATTGTTCGAATGAATAAAATAAAATAAAAATTAACATTCCTTGCAAATTCTTCGACTAATGTCTTCCTCAATTTGAAATTTCCTATTGCATTTCATGATGAAACATTGTTTACTTGTATTTATCGTTCCCCTCCATGTAGTCCACGTAAATTCTGTGAATTACTGCTAATTCATGAGTCAGTCATTCTCCGTCTGAAGCAATTACCGCCCATCTTCGAAATTCATTGTTTGCTAATTTTTAATTCAATGCTCCATTGGTATATTTCCTCAAACAAACGAGGAAAAACGGGGAATGTTGCTGCTTCAGAATGCGATAATTATCGTGACGTAATTACAGCACAATTGAACCAGGCACTATTCATGGCTACGTGCAGTCACCCACGTAGCACTTGTACAACAAATTTTTCCCAGTTGTGAGTTCTATATCTATTTTACTTTGAATTTTTCATCCACTAAATCAATCGAATTTAATTTATTCAATTTATTTTTCATCCAATTCATATGTTTATTTTATCTTCATTTTTTACATGGAACGATATGAACTTCAGGACTTGTGAAGATAATCTGGATTTTTTATGATTCATGTTTTGCAGTAGAAAAAGCCATAACAGCCAATATGAGCATTAAAAGTAACAAATTATTGATGACGTGGAAATGAAGAGTTTTACGGAAAAATGTCAGGTGTTTTTTATGTAAAATTTTATTGGCGATGAAAAATGTCCTTGGATATGTGTTCGTAAGCTCAGTCATTACCGGGAAAATTTTACAATTATCAGTAATTAAAGTCAAAAAACCCGAGAATTCGCATTTTTTCTTATGAAGTTTTCAACAATTTTTCAGATTACCTTTTGCACAGAATTACTGTTTTTTCAAACATTTATTGTTTATAAATAAATAATTGAAATTGTTTAAATTTTCGGAAACCGTATTTTTTTAGGAGATCGATTTCCGGTAAAATTCTGAATATGAATAAATTTGTTACAATTCCGAAAATTTATTGCTTTAAGCACGTTAAACTGTTTCGAAAATTGCACTTTTGAGGCAGGTATGACAAGGTATTATTTCGATACGAGTGTAAAAGTGTTGTTTGACTCGTGGGAGTTGTGTAGCACTCACCGAAGACGAGTGCTACCCTCCCAAGGATCAAACAACACTTTTACTGATATGGGTTCACCACGGTTTTCACATATACTTCTCGGGTTTTTTTGAAGAAAACATTCATCTATATTAATTTGTGGAGATTTGTGTTATAAAAATTAATTTTCGCGACCGCTCAGTCGCACGGGGAGTGGGGGAAAGAGCGAAGCGAGCGACGCGAGCAAAGACCACGCCCCCTAGTCCGTGAATAAAATGTAAATGAAGACAAAAATTAATTTTACACTGGAAAGGAGCTTCAGTTATTTGTTAGACACAAATATATCCGAATTTCATCGTCTCCGACACTCGCCGAAGACGAGTGCTACTCTCCCAAGGATCAAACAAAACTTTTGCGCACTCGTATCGAAACCCATTTTTCATCACAATGTGTTGGAAAGTGAGATTGTACTCAAAATTTCACTTTACGCACAAGTGCCGAAAAAAAACATTCATCCATGACCCACTAATTGCCTCAATGTCTCGCCTGAAACCCGGCGAAATGAGTTTTCATGTTCGAGAAAGAGGGGGATTGACGATCAAAGGGGGAAGAAGAAGTTGATACGAGTGAACGATGTGGAGGAGTTGGGGCTCACGACGAAGCCTGGAGAGGGGATGACTCACTGGCAAACGCCGCAAGTTCTTGGTTTCGCACCGCTCAGTCTGAGCGTAACTATCTTCTACCACTGACACGTTAATTCGATATCGAAGAAATGAAATAAAAAAAATCCTCCATCTCTCCAAATTAAGACAGAATGACCCTGAATGCGCTTATTATCAGTGAGTGAACAGTGAGGGAATGTCAGGCACTCCAGTGAGTGAGCATAAATTTTGATAGCGGTAAACAAAGCAAAACAAATTGAATCACTAATTTAATTGACAAAGTAAAAGGAAAAATTATTAGAATTTTTATCTTTGCGTCGGGAGATTTTTTTTTGTGCCAATTTTTTTACTCGGTTTTGGTGACAGTTGTGGGTGAGGGTGAAACCCCCTTCCGGTGTCATATTTCAATATGACGCGTGAGAGTGCGAATAAAGAGGAGAGAAACCTCGAGTGATCAATCAAGATTGTTCGATAATTAGCCTCGAGGCTAGTGGCAATTAAATCGAACTAATGAGTGAGTAGAGCTGTTAGGATAAACATGTACGTGCGAAGGTGTGGATTAAGTCCGAGTGGTGTGGATGGAGATGTGAGGAGAGTTTGACGCTGACAAGGTGAATTTTACGTTCAATTTTTATAATTTTTGGTAATGATTTTTGATAATTGTCGATTTATCTTGCAAACTTGCAGTTTTGGGGGAAAATGTATTAATGTCTTTTTTGTAGCTGATTAAATTTGCGAGAAAATATGTATTCTGAGATTTTCTCCTGAAGCCAATCATTACCGACATAATTCGAAATTTAGCAAGATGAGAAATATTTTCGTTTCGTCAATTCACTAATGTGTTTAATGGTTAATATCTCGTGATCGGTAGAGTCGATTTTCAAGTTTTTTTCTTATTTTAAAGGTATTTTTGAGGGCTTTAAAATGAATTTTGAGTTATTGAAATTGATAGTTGAGTCGGGAGATATTGATGATTGAAGGAAGGTCAGTTCATCTAATTTTGTAAGTTTTTTCTTTTTTCGTTCATTAAACAATTAGAATGAAATTTCAAGGGCTTCAGTGGAAATTCTGATGTCTAACTAGAGATGATGGGAATATATTCAGCAGAATGAAGAGAATACCAAGTACTGCAGCATTTACATGTGAAATATCCAGGAAAAACAAGTTTTCCCATTGAAATATTTAGATTTTTCTCGTTTTGTCAATTAATTTATAAATTTTTCATAAAAACCTCAGGATTTTAGAGGGATAAATAGATGTTTGCGATACACTTCTTTGTATTTCTTCTTTCGCATCACAAAAAAGCTCATCATTCAAATATTTTCTTCCAATTTCTAAATATTCATCAAAAATTAAAGTTTTTATTGGAATTTTTACTTGGAGCGGGACTTTTTGGCCCCAGCGTGTTAGCGCGACTTGAACACGGCAATGGTTGCGCCAAAACGGTGGCGCCAAAAAGGCACATACCCATTTTTACTCATCTCGTTCCATCAATTCAGTAGCGAAGCGGTGAACCGGGTGAAGTCGATTTTGACTTTTGGTTAGTTTTTGATGAATATCTCGCAATCTAAGGGAGATAGCCAAATTTCGCTCACCATCTTTTTTATAGCCCTCAATTGGCTTTACAAAAAAGGTGATGACAAAAATTTTTCTATCTCTCTTAGATTCCGAGATATTCGTCAAAAACTGGCCAATACTCAAAATCGACTTGACCCGGTTTGCCGCTTTGCTACTGAATTCGTTGAATTCTCGTTAAATAAATTATAAACAATGATTAATAAACCTTTTATAGAATTTCTGCGCATAGAAATTCGCGCTTTAGAGCGGAGGGGAATCTACGGCAGAAGGTTTCAACGAAAAACTCGACTACTTAAAGAGTTTGAAATTAAATTAAAATCAAAACACCAGGAAAGTTCGGGGTTTGTGTGGGCGTTCGCTATTCTACTGGATAACAAGAAGAACATGGCCTTGAGCTTACGAGGGCGCTCATTTATTTTGAGAGAAGTGGTGATTCATGGTGGGACACAGACATTTTTTTCATTATTTCGTCAAATTTTAGTCCCATCTCCAGTGGATTTTCGAAAAAATTGAGCTAAAAAATTTATTAAAATTTTTGCTGTCGATTTGTGTAATGAAATAAGTTCCATAGAATTTTCTCGCTATCACTAGGTTTTTCTATGGAATTTATCCGTAGGAGTTTTGAAGACAGAAAATTTCACTGAAATATTCGCCACGAATTATTCCAAAACTATCTTCAAAACTCTTGGAGAAAAAAGTTGAGAAGCTTCAAGATAATGATTATTATTATTTTCAAAAACTTTTAATAATGCATGAAAATATTCGATTGCATAAATATTTATGGAAATTATAAACAATGAATGAAGATGTTTCCAGAGTTATCCAAACAAATTCTTCTAATTTTAATTTTTTCACTGAAAAATGCAACAAAAATTCCTAAATATATTTTTTTCAATTCCCTATGACGTTTGTTCTTGTAACAAAGTAAGTTCGCCCTACGATACTCAAGAATTTTTTATTTGTCATGAATACAATTGTGTGGAGAAAGTTTTCGAAGACAGGAAATTGAACTCAAACATTCGAAACGAATTATTTCAAAAATATCTTGGAGAAAGAAATTGATCAGCTTCAAGATAATTATTATTAGCGTTAAAAAATTGTAAATAATGAATGAAAATATTAAATGTCATGAATATTTACGGAAGTGATAAACAATGAATGAAGGCATTTCCAGAGTTATCCAAACAAATTCTTCTAATTTTAATTTTTTAACTGAAAAATGCCACAAAAATTCCCGAATTATTTTTTTAAAATTCCTTGTGACGGTTGTTATTGTAACAAAGTTAATTTACTATATCCTTTCATCCTGATGATGAGCGAGTTCATATGTAAATAAGTCTAATGGATTCAAAATGGAAAAAAAGGAGTTCATCAACGTGACATTGCGCAATGGACTATTCAGCTAATGTCAGTCACTGAAAAACGCAATTGCCATTCAAATCATCTGGAAAAAAATGAGGAAAGAAAAATCGAACGTCAAAGATCCTATCCTGAACCGTAATTGATCTGTCGTCACAAAGACGTTAAACCCTGTGAGGTATTCCCAGTTCTTTATTTCGTTCTGATAAGAGTTTTACCAGTCATGGAAACACGAGTATCTCATCCCGGCCTTAATTTCATTTGATGCAATTCCAACAGCTGATTAGATGAATGAAGTCAGAATTTCATTCTTAACGAGGTTGTTATGAACGCAATAATTTCTTTATTTAGAAAAATTGGAAAGGAAAATATCTAAATGGGAAAAAATTAATTGATATTTGATGGTCAATGTATTGAGATCAGCAGAGTGAAATTTGACGATTTTTTTTTCATTTTGAAGATATTTTTTTAGACTTTAAAACGAAATGTGATTTACTGAAATTGTATCGCTGTGGCGGGAGATATAGATGATTGAAGAAAATTCATTTCATCTCATCTGCCAAGTTTTTTCATTTATTGTTTATTAAAATAATTTTTTTTTAATTTCCGAACACTTAAAATGATATTCTGATGTTTAAGGATATCCAAGTATCTTTACCACATTATAAATTCAACCATTTTCAACCATCAAATTTGTCAATTAAATTGCGTGAGAAAAATTAGAAAAAAATCAATTTGAAATATTCAACGTCATTAAAATTACATTTTGCATAGAATTATTATTTTTTTCTAACAATAATTTATAAATCATTGAAATTGTTTGAACTTTCAGAAACCTGATCTTTCAGGCATGAAATAGATTTCTGATAAAATTCTGAATATGAATAAATTTGTTCCTATTCCGAATAAATGATTTTCATGGTGGAAATAGGGATGGCCATCAATTGATTTTATTTGTGAAATATTCAATGCAAGTTGAAATTATCCAGAAACTAACCCCCGTCTAGAAATTGACCTGTTCACCCCACTTGAATATTTTCACAGATTCTCCTACAATTTTAGTGGAGAAGTGATCTAAACAAGAGAAAATCAATTGATGAGAGAATAAAATTGGACGATTTTTTTTCTCATTATGAAGATTCTTTCACTGTTCATTAAAATATTGTTAAAGCTTTTAAAGGGCTTAAATTTAAATTCTCATGTTTAATTGCAAACTTTGAGATTCTTTCCACTAAAAACCATCAAAACAGAGAAACATTTTTAGATGTCCATTGAAAATCTCATTTTAAAGCCGGAAAAAATACATTGTAAATGAAAAAAAATCCTCTAATCAAGTTTTTGATGAACTTCTCCCGGAATTCCTTCACAATTCAACTAAATAGACCGAGACCATTGTCTCTCTGGGCTCATCGAGGCACGCGAGGACGCAAATTGCACACATATCCCCCTGATTGTGCACCCGCAGTCACAATTGTCCCATCCAACGTTCACAAGTATAACTCTGTATCATGCAATTATCGTATACCGATAAGTAATGATAGGACTGGTGAGGAAACTAGTAATAAAATATCCAGGAAAAAAGGGTTCATGCTGACTACTGGACTGCACTTCCGAGCTGAATGCAATCTCACATGTTTGTCGGGCTAATATTATACGACTCTGAGTCATATTTACACACGAATATGTGATATACACTGTGTTGAAGGATATAATAACGATGGATAATGTAAAGACTGATCTTTACTCGCGATTATTCGGGGGAAATTAATGAACGTCCGGGTAATTAATTCGCTGAGGTATTGCTGGTAGACACGAATGCCGAGATATTATAGAAAATATGTGGGAAAATTTTGTGATTTGTTTGGTTTAATAAATGATTATGAAAATATATTGTGGAGTAGTCCAACACGTGCGAAAAAATTTCATAGAAAAATCCAGAAAATTCGCCAGAAAATTCTATTGAATGTCTATTGAGCTTTTTATTAGTTTTTGGACGATTTTGTTGACAAATTCGATTTTTCAATAACTTCGCACCTTTCGTTGTTTTTTTGTTTGATTTTTTAAATGAGAAACGGAGAGAATTAGAGTGGAAAAAAGTTAGAGAATTCATGTCGTGGAATTTCTATATAAAATGTCTCAATAGAAATAGAAAACACTGTATTATATTTTGAAATTTCTATTAAAGAATAAGCTCTACCGAGCTTATTCTATTGATGCATTTTTTATAGAAAAAATGTCATATAAAAACTCAGAAAATTCGCTAGAAAATAAAAAATAATACGTAATAAAGTTGCAGAATTCTTCAATAGAATCAGCCAAAAACTAATAGAACCTCTATAGAAGCTCAACAAGAACTCAATAGAATTATCTGTCGATTTCCTAAATTTTCAAGTGGAAATAGTTATTTTGAGAATAATTGCAGAATTTTGCGGGACTGAATTCCAAAAAATTTAAGCATGAATTTTTGTTTTGTTGAATTTGACATCTCAGTACCAAAGGCAACTATAAAAATGAGTTATAAATGATTTTTTTCTTATAAATTTTCTCAGTTACAAGTAGTTTATTTCACTTTTTTGTAAAATCACTCGTTTTTCACATTATTTTAGATTTTTCCAGTGATGAAATGGTGCCTTGGTAAAAAGCTCGGTAATAAGTGCCTCCAGGAATAGATTGTCTCAGACATTTTTTGTTTGAAATTTCATGAGCTACAAATATTATTTCATCTTCTTAAGGAAAACATTTCAATAAATAAACATAAATTTTCCTCGGAGAAATGAAAATACCTTTCCTCAAAAGGAAATCATAACAACAATCCTGTAAGAGCCCCCGCTCACGAGGTCAGCCAATAATACTTGCAAATGATGTCTTTTTCCAGCCACAACTCCCCGACAATTGAACCGAGGGAAGTCGCATCATAAGAATTCCGACACCTCCGCAAAAACAAAACCCAGAAAATAATACCATTGAAAACGTGGTCATGGTCATTGACCAAAAAATAAAATGTAGTAATGATTGAATGGCTATTTCTGGAGGTCGTTTGATGTACCAATTTATGGTTGGCGTTACGACCCCGGGGGTAACGAGGATGGCCATGACCTCAGGAACAAATAAGTGGGCTTCGAGGGTTGTGGTGATCCTTCAGCTTGCAGCATGGAGTGCTGTTGGTATAGTGCTGCTTCAGAAAGGAGTTACGTCATTGCAAAAAAAACCACACGATAGTAATAACGACACGCAGGTAAATGTCAACATTTTTAAGATGTTTTAATCGAGTGAAGGATGAAATGAATTTAAAAAGTTGCACTGAATAAACTTTTTCATGGACTTTGAGGCTTTAGGGATGTTCACGTATCTATTAATTTGATCTCTACATTGACTTCTAATTTTCAGGACAATGACACTGAATCTAATTTAGGGGGAAAAAATCATGAAATTTCAGATTTCCCTGAAAATTCTGTAAAATTCCAGAATTTTAAGCACCATAAAGACGAGAATTTCTCACTTTATTTGAATTTCCAATCTAATATGAATATTCAGTGCCAAATCACATTGAATTTTCAGTGAAATCTGAAATTTCATGATTTTTTCCTCCTAAATCGCATTCAATGTCAGTCCTGAAAATTCAAGAATGTAATGACCGGAATTTTTTGGTTTTCTATTCATTGTCAGGAAAAATGGAACTGAAATTGACATTTCTCTTTAATTTTTCCACGAAATTCCTTGAAATTTCCGTGGTAATGAAATTCGATAAAGATTTCCAAAAAGTGTACCGGAAATTTTAGACAAAATTTTTCAACAGTGTACAGTTTCGTACAGACCACACTGCAGACACACTATCAGCCATTTTCAATCATCAAATTTGTCAATCAAATTGCGAGAGAAAAATTTGAAAAAAATCAACCAAAACATGATGTCTCAACCTCCCTGACAAATCTCTCTAATTTCCAGACGACCCCCAGTTCCCAGAATATCCGCCAGCAGCCGGAGCTCGCAGTGATCCCGATGATCGAGCAGAACCTGCGAAACCGTCTCGACAAAATTCCGTGGAAGGACCCCGAGCTGGACCCGGAGGACGAGCCCCGTGTCCTGGAGAGCGTGGAGTCCCCGAAGAGCGACGAGTCATTAAAAAATACCCAGAAGACTGCGAAGAAGCGAACGAAATGGGCTGATCTCGAGGACAACTCCTTCCCCATCTCCACCTTGAAGAACCCAATCTCCCTCGAAACAGAAAGACTCGACGATAAGACTGACGACTTCAACATCACAGATAGAATACCCCAGATGCCTGACGAGCCAGGAACATCGAGCCCTCCCCCGACAACGAAAACAGGGATCTGGGAGTCTCGTAGACGACTCAGACTGTCTCACCTGAGTGGAGGTGGTGCAGCAGCAGCTGTCGCCATGGTGGCAGTGGGTGCAGTGATGCTGGTGCTGGGTCCAGCTGTCATTGTCCTTCGGGCACTGGACGAGAGACGACAGGAGAGGAGATTTTTGAAACTGTCCGGACGGGATGACCTCCCACCGACGTATGAACAAGCTACTTTGATGGACGAAGCTCCTCGTTACTCCAGTCTCAGTTTGAATACTATCCTGGGACCACCACCGCCACCCTCACCCACACCAGCTCGAGTGCATCTTGTGTGAAGATGATGAAGAGCGCAAAGAGGTGGGGCAGAACGAAATGAGTGGGTTTTTACGTTTTGTTAGAGGTCCAGTTAGAAGTGGATTTGAGAGGAAAATTAATGGGAAATTTATAGGAAATTTTGCAAGGTGCAAAAGAGGTTTGGAGACATTTTCAAGTAGAAATACTTGTTTTGGAGATGATTGCTCTATTTTCGAGGAGCGGAATGAGAAGAATGGAAGAATAGATTTTTTGTTCTGTTGAATTTGAAATTATCTTGCTAATGAGAGGATCTAGGAGGAAAAGTTATAAAGGATTTTTTGTTGTTAATTTTCTCAGCTACAAAAAGTAAATTTGGCATTTTTTTTGTAAAATCACTCGTTATTTAGATAATTTTAGATTTTTTCAGTCATGAAGTGGTAAACCTTGAAGGATCAATGCTTCATGTTCTATTGAATTCGGAATAAATTGATTCAGATATTTTTTGTTGGCAATTTCATGGATTAGAAAAAGTTCATTTGACATTTTCTTGAAAAATCCCTTGTTTTCGAGATAATTGAATAACTATTCCATGATTAAGTAAAAATGAAAACTCACATTTTCCCATCTATATAAATCTGAAATTATCCCCATAATGAGTGGTTAAAAAAACTCCATAAAGTATTTTTTACTCCAAATTTCTTCACGGACAAAAAAAGCATTACAAAAATTCTAAGTTGTCACAACTCAAAGAAACAATTCCTGAGGACAACCAAAAGAAGTGATGACGATAACATATCTAAGTGTTCTTACATTAAAAACATTGATAAGTCAATCCCGCGCTCGAATGAAGAATCATTTAAATGCAGTGAGTCATTGAGTCATCGAAAGCTCCGTCCAAAAACGAACCAAAAAGAGAATATAAAAATCAAGTTACTCGAGTGCAACAAACTTTGACGTGAAAATTTACAAGACAATGAGAATAAAAATGATACCCGAGTGACTGAGGTGGTGATCTTCATTGGCCTGTGATGACAGTGACTTCACTCCGGGCCTTTACCACAAGCCGTCGAGAGCAATTATCCTTAATTGACCGGGAATTGACCCCGTCGAACTCTCGTACAGTCGCAACTTGTGAGTTCCAATGATTATTGCATTTGTATCGTGTTTATGAATGTACAAATCAAATAATTAAATTGTTTTGATAATTTAAAAGACGATAGTGATGAGAGTAAATGGATTCGGTGGTGGAGGGAGTGAAAAATAAATGAGAAGGCATCCAACATTTTTTGTAATTGTGAATTAATGCAGAAGATAAGTGATTTTGGGATGAAATGTCGAATAAAAAAGCTTTGCTGACATTTTTCGCTTAAAAAAATGTGATAAAAGCGAGTTCAACGATTTGGAAATTTTCATAATTTAAAAATTAACTCGAGAATGAGTAGTTTTAGGAGGAAATATCGTAAATTTTTTTTTGTAGCCCTTAAAATTGTGTACAAAACTGTCAAACTGTCATGTGAGCAATTTTTTTCAAGTGCGAATGAGTTTCCTCATGACTTGAAAATGTTTGAATACCCTTAGATCATCGTCTTTCGCCCCTCCACTCCCAAATATTCATAATCGCACGTTAAATGTCCCCTCGAATCGCGAAAATCGAGTCATCGAGGTAGTTTAGTCGTTCTTGTGTGATCAGGTGTTACAATTGAATGTTAATTCGACTGATGCGAGTGAATCGTTCATCGAACACTTCCCGTCAAGGAGAATATTCCAACAGCATTAACCAAGATTCAGAATTGTACATATGACTAGTGTTATAATACTTTATATATTTATAAAAAAATTATTTGTAGAGAGACGAATAAAGTTACTTCGAACTTTTGATTACAAATGACGTGAGTGTTTCGTCATTAATCGATAAAACAATCATCGACTTAACGATCATTCAATAAAAACTAAAAAATCATCTGGTTGTTCTCTATTCCATTACTTTGAAGCTGAAATTATCGGAAAATCTAATTTATTCGATTTTTGAAGGTCCAAGAGTCAAACAATCATGCGAACAAATTTTTTTCAAGTGCGAACGAGTGTTTGCTCATGACTTGAAAATATTTGAACACACTTGATCATTATCTTTCCCTCTCTACTCCCATAGATTCACCATCGCGCGTCAAATGTCCCTCGAATCGCAAAAACTGAGTCATTCAGGTAGTTTAGTCGTTCCTGTGTGATCACGTGTGTTACTATTGAATGTTAAATCGACTGCACTGTTGGAAATTTTTTGAGATTTCAAGGAAGCTATTATAGTGAAAAGCACGTAGGTTTAAATGAATGAAGGTTTATTTATTTAATGAGGCGAAGAAATAAATACAAAAGGATGTGTCAAAAAAAGGAAAAAGAAAAGAATGTGTAAATAATAGAACAATTGGAGAAACTACAGTTTCGTTACACTACTGACTCTCATGAGTGTGAAATTGAATTTAATTTAGGGAAAAAATGACTGAAATTCCAAGTTTTAAGTAAAATTCACGGATATTGATGAGTTTTTAGTGGGAGTGAGATGGAAATTTTACAACTTGATTGAAGTTTTTGTGGAACATGAATACTCAGAAACAAAATGACATGAATGTTCAATTTTTCCCTGTATTTTTCTGAATTTTCATAGAATAATTCAGTCGCGAAGCGGTAAACCGGTGTCGACTTAGCTCTTCGCTGAGTTTTCGAGGAATATCTCCGAATCCAGGAGAAATACCGAAATTTGCATTATCATCTTTTCTATAGCTCTCGATTCTCTCTACAAAAAAGGTTATTACAAAAAATTCGCTATCTCCCTTCCATTCCGAGATATTTATTAAAAACTGACCAATACTCTAAATCGACTTGAACAGGTTTATCACTTCGCTATTGAATTGAACTGAAAACTCAAGTGTTTTTTTGATTTCCAAATTATTTGAACAGAAAATCAATGGAATATTTGATTTTTCAATAACAGGATTTCCTGAAATTTCAGTGGAACTTAAACACGATCAAAATTCCCAGAATTTGGCACGGAAAATTCAGAAGAAAATTTTTAACAGTGCGACGCAAGTGAATCGCTCATCGAACACTTCACATCAACAATGATATTCCAACGGCATTAATAAAGCTTCAGAATTGTACATATGGCAAATGCAATACCTTAAATCAGTACCGAAGCGGTAAAATTGAGTTTATGAGGAATATTTTCGAATCTAAGGGAGATAGCGAAATTTTCGTAATAACATTTGTTGTAGCTCTCAATCGGCTCTACAAAAAAGCTTATAATAAAAATTTTGTCATCTCCCTTAGATTCCGAGATATTCATTGAAAACTGGTCAATAGTCAGAATTGACTTGTACAGTTTTACCACTTCTCCACTGATATATTCATAAAAAAATGATTAGGAGAGAAGAATAAAGCAATTTCAAACTTTTGATTACAAATCACGTGATTGTCTCGTCACTAATCGATAAGGCAATGATCCATTGATAATTGGCTGACGCATACCTGGTCAGCCCTGAGTGCATGACCACTCGCTACCAATAAAATCATCATCTCAATTAATTCGCTGATGATTCCAAGCGTTGTGACTCGAGTGAAGGGTATCTGGACGCATTGAGAGACTGTGGTAGGGACCAAGGCCTCCCCAGTTTGCTGGTGAAACCGTGAGATGGCTAACAACAACTAATGGAGCTGAAATGGACAGAACAGAGGCGGCACCGCTGACCAGTGGTAAGCATTAATAAAATATTTTGCCGAATTATTTGCCAACGAGTGAGGAAATTTTATTCCTGTTCACCGCAATCATTTCAAGGTAATTATCATTTTTCACGGACTTTATGGAGTTGTGGGGAAATATGTCGCTCCTGCAGTGCACATTCAAACTTGTTGACGCCAAAAGTCACGGCTGTGTTTACACTTTAAACGTATTACAACTGTGTTGGGTAATGTTGTATAGGTGTAACGGTGTTTTTTATCGGGGGGACTTGTCATTCGGTAGTATTGGCTTCGTGTTCGCTGACGAAGGCCACGAGAAATATCTGCAACTAGTTTTAGGATTGTTTTTGCTCAAATTTAAGTCTTGAATTTTTTTTTGTTTTTGCGCAAATTTAAGTTTTGAATTTTTCGAGTTTTTGCTCAATTTTAAAGTTTGAATTTTTCCTGTTTTTGCGCAAATTTAAGTTTTGAATTTTTCGTGTTTTTGCTCAAATTTAAAGTTTGAATTTTTCATGTTGTTGCTCAAATTTAAGTTTTGAATTTTTCTTGTTATATCGACCCATTATGACTCGAAAAATACGAAAATGCGATTTTTAGACCGGGTCCGTACGTATGTATGTATGTGCATTGAGAGAAATATCGCGTCATAATATCGCAAAACTATAATTTCTTGCGCCAAATATCTCATCTCTTGGGCATAAATTTCTTGGGGTAAGAATTCCGGATAATGTGTCAGACAATGTCAGATTTCCGTAAAGCCTTCATGACTTGAATTTAACATGAACATTTCATGATAAATTTTACTTGCCACAAGAAATCGGTTTTTACGAGTCACAAAATGAGAAAATGACATAAGATACTAAAAGCTTCGATTCAGTCAATCATGAATCAGAGGCTTTCATATTGAATGAATAGAGAGTTTATGCAGAGGAAAACCTCCAGATATTGAAAAAATATGGTCATCGTTTACGCTCAATCGCTTTGAGTTCGAAGGAAAGCAATATCTTCTTTTACTTCTGTCAACCTTCTGTCGTCTTTTAAAGAATATCATCTCATTGCGAAAAAATACGTGATCTTGTCATTCAGTAACTTCGTCCTTAACCCGAAGAGCATCAATTTCTTGTCAGAAACGTACCATTTACCCTACATTTTGATTCATTTAAAAATTAACAAAAATTTTGGACTTTTTGAAAATGAGAATTTCCGGGATATTTTTGGATATCATGCGTCAAATGAAGTCAATAATAGCTGAAAATGATTGTTTTAATGCCATTAAGTCGAAGGTAAAAGATAATTACGGTAGCTCTATGCAGAAATAAAATTTTTTTTTCCACCCGGAGCCAAAGTGCCATATTTAGCCTTTTTCCGGGGGAAAGTCGACTTTCGCCAAAATCGAATTTTTCCGCCGGGTGAACGCCGATTCTATACTTTCTGGCCCGCCTAATGTCACTGCGCCCCTCACTTGCCCTAGAAATGAAGAAATAAAAAAATTTTTTTTCCCACCCGGAGCCAAACTGCCATATTTAGCCTTTTTTCGGGGGGAAAGTCGACTTTCGCCAAAATCGAATTTTTCCGCCGGGTGAACG